AAACATCACCTAATTGAGTATTATCGCATTCAATTCAGAAAGTCAAGTTAAAACATGAGAATATTTGTTTGTTTATACATATATTAATCCTGCAATGAAGTAAAATATTTGCTTGTTCCAAATCATAGCCAAATATGGACAAGAATGAGTAAGATTTATAAGATCCTGACCTTTAGACATGGGCGATATCATATGCACCATGACACTGACGGCGCCGGCACTGCAGCCTGAGATGGTGACCAGGTTGGGGTCTCCTCCGAAGGCGGCTATGTTCCTCTGCACCCAGCGGAGAGCTGCAACTTGGTCCTTGAAACCATTGTTACCGGGAGCCAGCTGGTTGCCCAGGGCGAGGAAGCCTGGAATACAAAAAAAATTGTACCTCTACACAAAGGTAACGTCGTGTAAAATGCCAATAATAAAATTAATAAATCTGGTGTCATCGATTGTCCATTGATGTTTATTTATGTAGTTATGCTGTAAACTGAGCACGAATAATGGAAATGATTAATCCGTAAACCATATATTAGATGGCGTCACTGGTTTACTAGACGGTATTTATTTATGTATGCTGTCTGCCGTATGGTCCATAAAACACGTTGTACCGAGAGACCCGAGCCTGTAGTTAATGGTGACGAGAACGACATCTCTATCGAGAAGGTAGTGAGGGCCAGCTAGGTCACTGCGGCCTGACATCGAGTAGAACCCGCCGGGGTGGATGAAGAAGATCACGGGGAGCGGTTTGGTACTGCGGACAACAAACGATGTATAATATCGCGACACAAAGTTGTTAACTCAAAACAAAAGCCCACTAACCGATTTCGGTTAGAATTACAAAATAAATGGCCAGCCTGGCATTACCACTTGCTTGGCTTAGTCGGAGGATTTACCCTTTTCCGAAATAAAAGAACTTAGGGAACATCATAATATGTAGTATTCTTAACTCATGACAGATGACGTCGCGGTGTGACGGATGTGTGATGGATATTGATCCAGAAGTTTTCAGAAGAGGCCTATGTTCAACAGGATGTCTTGTGGCTAACTGACACGATGATAATAATATTCATACACCTATTACGGTGGTGGTAATGATAGTGTACCAAGGATTACCTGTTGCGGCCACTGCCAGGAGTGTACACGTTGATGGTGAGGCAGTCCTCGTCCACATAGTAGCCAGGGCTAGCAGGCCGCGGACATGATGGACCTTCCTTACTGGCGTCCACCACTTTTTCGTACTGCAGGATGAGGTGCGGGGGCTAAAGCGAAAGATATTTACTCAGTAGGTATACGCTACAAAATGCTTTGGGTATACACGAATGGACCACCTCAACCACGTGTTACCACGGCCACCTTACAAAAAACCGGCGTAAAACAAAGCTTGCCTTGTGTTTCGTCGTGTCAGTCAGGTTACTGGAGGCAGACCCTATCCCCTTCTCCTAAAAGAGTGTAGTTACTGTTTTTGAAAGACCGGTAACTCCTCTGTTGTTGCTGGTGTTCATGGTTGGCTCTAATTGCTTACCATCATCTGACGGTACCACCATCGTCTGATGGTAAGCAGTTCTATCCACTCGATAAAATCTTACCTGGAATCGTAGTTCCCCGACGGGTGGCTCTGCATATCGTATCCCACGGTAAGCCTGGAAGCGTCTCCCGCGGCGGGTCTCCATCCAGGAGCCGCGGAACGTGCCCGACACACTGCGTGTTACGGGACCATCTTTACTGCTATTGTTATTAACTGGAGATACTTGCGCGTCTGTAAAATGGTGATCTTTAGTAAAAAAAAGACAGGAGCATTCATTAAATTCCGGAGCTGTGGACAACTTAACAGGTTACCGGGCCCCCGGCTCCAAGCAAAAGTAGGAACGGAGTAGTTATCAATCAGTAAGAGTCTGACACTCCCTCTCGCCTCACGCAAGGCGGGAGAAGTCGTTGGATGATGAATGATTATCCCCAAGCTGTTATAAAAAGATTGGATAATATTTTATTTGCATGTGAACAGACCTGCTGCACCATTTTTCACCACCACTAACAAACACACACACACGACACACAGCCGCATTACACTGCGAGACATTTCGGTCAGCAGTCAGTAGTTCACGCCAGTACGACAGAATACCAGTACTGTCACTGCTAACAGTCGTCACCTACTGGCGAATAACGAATGACGCGCTCCTAGCAAAACTTATTCATTTATTCAGGTATACATCAACGTATAAGTAGTTGACCGATTCTGCAATTTTTTTTAAACCCATTCGCGGAGCTGTTGTTGGTGATTTCCTTAGGGATGTGCTGTGCAAAAACAGAAGTGAACTATGAACTGATTACAAATTGGAATTACTAGTGGCTAGCCTTAATTAATTAGTCTTCATATTAGTGACATTTTGCCTGACTCTGGACATACCCAGGGCCTTCGTAAACCACCGCAAATGACGTCTTTTGACTCAAAAACAAAGCAATGGATTATAAATAATGACATTTAGATAAATCTATATTCCTACTGGAAAAAACTCGACTCATTGAGATTCCCAACATGTTCTTTATTCTTACATTTATAAATATAACAAAACGTGAGATGTCCACAAAGAAACCTGAGTTACTCATCTTGTACTCACAAGGAAAAGACGAACAAATAATAAACATGTAAACTGGGAAACCCAGAACTAGTACTACGGACTCAATCCTTGACTGTTTATAAACACTAACCGGTTTATTTTATTCACTATCAAAATGTATTCAAATTCATTTCAAAGTAAATTACTATTCTAGACCCCTTGTTCGGCAGTCTGCAGTCATGTTGGCGGTCTAGTATTTAATAATGTTCAGAAAATGTTATCTGTAAGCTTTCTTTTTGCATATATAAACCAGTTTTGTTATATGGGCACTAGCTCATATTAAAACTAGTTACTAGGCACTGATTCAAGAATCAATCCCAGTACAGCGTAGTGTATAATCACACGACCACAACATCCAGTCGGCTAGAGTAAGTACTCAAGTAGATATTATAGTAAAATAAAAGAACTAGGGTAAAAAATCAAAATCAGTTTATTAAGAAATGGTTTATTGTGTCTGTAAATAGTTATTTTTAGTTTTCTTTTATTTCCGTAGTTAGCTGTTAAGTTTTATAATTTTGAATGTAAATTATTATGGTATAAACAAAATAAAATATCCTGGTTAGTAACATTTTATATTTTGTAACTGTTAACAATAAGAATTTATGGTACTACTGATCAGTACTGTATGGGGTACAAGTCGTCCCAAATCTTGTACCGGTCCTCGAACATGTTCTGTCGCACCTCTAGCTGTTGTCCGCGGTGCAGGTACCTCCTGTCCGCGGCGGTCATGGCGGGCCACGACAGCTTGCCCAGCTCCGGCGTGTCACCGCGCGGGTTCGGGTCTCTGTGTAAACCAAATCGTTATTACTGCTTGACATTACATTCGTTTGGTGATGTCTTACGATACAACTTATATGTATTTGTTTTTCTAACAAACCGGCCGGCAATCTACTTGTATAAAAATGTCGCCGAAAAAGAAGTAAGAGTCTGTAACAGTATGTAACCTTCCCTGGCGTCGCAACTCATCCAGAGCAGATCCAGACATTTGGTGTTTTTCCATCTTCATAAAAGAAGTACCTACGATGATAGTTTATATGGTAGTGACTCACCCGTATCTGGCGAAGTTGTACCAGAGCGCCGTCATCTCGTCGACGACGTGCGAGTGCTTGCTGTCCAGCGAGATCACGGGGAACCGGTAGCTCAGCGTGAACAGGTACAGCAGGTCGTCGTGGTGCGCCGCTCCTGTACAATGCACGCGTGTTACGTTTAAACAATTTGTAATTTTTGCTCACTTGTAACCTTCCTATGAATGTTGTTATTGGTGAAAGTTTGAGGATGCATGAAGGAATAATTATTACTCTGTCTATGGTATAAACTGATTTAAAAAAATAGAGGGTTACGACTTAACTCCTGTTTTTTTAAAGTACATTCAAATGTCTATTAAATATTGTCGGTCAGAAGAGAATTACCTTGTGGTTTGCCGTGAGAGTCCTCATAGTGGGAGTTGTTCCCAACGTACGCGAATTCTGAGTACCACACTGGATGCTTGGAGTGACGACACATTAGGTTAGCTAGCCTGAGGATACATCAACAATGTATTATCAAATAGTGAATGATAGAGATAAACTCTATTAGAATCAAAGTGAATGCCCTATTTTAAAATTGATTTGACACCTTTATCTTAAATGTCATCTCACCTGTGCACCCCAAACCCAACGACGGAGTCTCCGTAAAGTTGTCCAAGAGCCTTCTCACTTTGTTTGTCATTCGTCAACTTCTTCCCCTTAAGGTACACCTCTTTAAGTTTCTGTACCGCCGCGCCACGGTTCTTCTTCGGTAGTATGAACGAGATCGGAGCGACTCTCTCCCACTCTTCATTCATTGTCTTCAAAAGCGTTTCGTTTTGTAAGACCGCTAGAAACAGTTTAGTTAAGGCAATGGTATAAATTCCCTAATTCACACTCGTCGTGGTGTATATACGTGTGTGTCTGCTAACTATGGATACTTACGGAATGCTTTCCAGAAAAACTCGTCAGTAGTCTGACTCACGATGAGGGGTACCGTGTGCATTTTACCTTCTTTAATTGCAACTAATGGATTTATAGGGAGGTATCGCTCCTGCCCAAAATCTGGCTCTACTACTGGACCCCAAAGACCCACTGGGTCACCTTCACCAAACTCCTGCAACGACACATGAATTTATTTCTGGGTATTTTGTCACATTTTTCAACATACATACATAACTTCACGCCTGTCTCCCATGGGGATAGGCAAAGACTAAGGAACGCCAATTACTACGATTCTTACATACCTCTTTCGCTTCA